TGTGTTGTATAAAGACTAATTAAAAATACATATTGGAGTGATGCTGGAATGGTCTGCATGAATAACATTTCTAAAACAATGTATGCAAAGCTTATTTCCCACTATGTTGTGGTTGTATCCTCTATTAATTAGGTAGGTTTCAGCAATAAGAAAAAAAAAAGAAATAGTTGTAATTACTTGCTGAAGAAATACCTGAAAATCCCTCTGCAGTAATCACCAATGTAAGACTGCCAATATGCTCTGTGTGGAGAGAGGCACCATCTGAAAATTCTGCTTTAATTAAAAACAAAATGCTTCACAGCTTGGACTAGCAAAGAGAGAGGTTATCACTCATTAAAGATAGCCACGTGGTAGCCTAACAAAAGGTCAGAAGGGCCTCCAAGTGATAAATTGGTTTGAATTTAGCTGTTGTGGTTAGGCCTTTATTACAGGCTCAGACTACTTGAAAGACAGAGTATTTTAAATTACTTGGCATTCCCTCCTCGCTGGGTTTGTTTAGTGTTTGTTCATCTACCCATCCACATAAGTAGAAGTTGCAGAAGTGACATAATCTAAAGTAGGTTATGTAGATAATATTATTATAGATTATGTAGATAAATCTTGAATAATGCTGGGATTTCTCATATTCTTTCAAGTCACTTTGTTCCTTAGCCTAATTAAGGCTATGCTGTGCTGCAAAAATGAAGCTCTCATTGCAGAATTCTGCAAGGAGCAGAATGTAAGGAGGCAGCAGTGCAGCTTACGGTGTGGAGTGAAAGGCTCTGCTCCTTTTCACACCACACTGGCAGTGTGTGATGAAGACACATCACAGTCTTCAGACAGTGAAACTTTTTTCTGGAGCTGACACATCCCTCCTTTGGACAGAGCTCCTTTGGAAAGACTTTTGGATGGACATCAGATTTTGTTTTCTGCCTGCATCATTTCTAGACATCATAAGGGACTTGTTTGTCCAGATTATTTTTTTTTTCCAAACTACAGTGGTTGGTTTAATAAAGAATATTGTTTCTGCTATGCAGTTCCAGATCAGATCTGAGTAGACTGGTTTGGTTTGTTTTATTTAATCAGTGCTTCTAGCATTTAAGCTTGCAAAGTTTTCAGTGTTAGGAACCTTGAGTCAGCGGGGATTTTCTTTATAAACTTGTGAAATCTAGGGCTAGAACTTGGTAAAAAGTCTACCCTGCAGTGCTGCTCTCAAGCTTTGCCTTTGTTTCAGATACAAGGTGCTATTTCATAAGCATTTCTTTCATTTGCAGGCCTGCTTTTCTATCCTCAGCCACTTGTTTTCCTGCCTCTGTGCCCTCAAGTGTGCTGGAGTAACTATTTATGAGATAGCAAGGTGAACTGAATTTGAGATTGATCTAGGTTAAAAATAACCCTACAAAAAAGGGAAAGCAGGAGGGACTTCAGTTAACCTGGATTTGGCTTCCTGATCCAGTTCACTGCAGCCACACAAGCAGTTGTACCAGTGCAGGTGGGATATGGCACAGAGAAGAGAGTGGATAGCAGGCATTAAATAGGAGCTGTCTGACCTACTGCTGTTGCCAAAAGGAGAGCTGTGATTTCAGGCTGTACTGCAAGTATTTTCCTACCATAAGCAGTTTCTCTGCTGTGAGGTAGAAATGCTTCCTGGGAAATGGGAAAGAGAACAAAGTAGCAGTGGAGCTCTGAGGAGGTAAGTGAAGTAAGGAATATGTTGTCTTAGAGTTGCAAAACTAGAAGATAAATTCAGTTTGGTTTTTTGTTGGTTTTTTTTTGGTTGGTTGGTTTGTTGTTTTTTTTTTTAACCTTCCCCTTCAATGTTTGGGAAAGGATTACACACATTTTACTTCTTTGTGTTATGGTGTTCAGGAGGGCTAGTCATGAGCTAGGACCCCATTTTGTTTGTACAAACAAAATGTAATTTGTTCTCTGAAATCCCCCTGTTCTGTTTTGGAAAATAAGGTGAATGCTGACAGGAAATGAAAGTGAGACTCTTAATTTGTGTAGCAGAAGAATTGGTATACAGCAGTTTAGAGGGTGTGCTATGCAGGGAGCTAAAGGGAGATACTGCCCTGCCTGTGGTGTTGGGATCAGCAGTGGTAAACAAGAGTCTCTTCAGGGCTCGTTTGGGCCTCTCTTTGGCATCTCCCTTGCTGTTTCTTCCACATCTCAGCAGAATCACATCCGCTAAGAGTAAGGTTTCACTAAACAGCTGAGCCCAGCTGGTGACTTGCACTGTTGAAAAATCAGGTTTTAATCCTAGACCCTTCACAGGTCACAATTCAAGTGTTTCTCCAATCCATTGTTAAGGTCTTTAACATAGGCAGAAAACAATGCAGGTTTTATCTCTTTGGGTTATCTGTAATTATTTTTGCGCACCAAATCAATACACTGAGGTGTCAGATGGCAAAAGACAGATTCAAATTAAGCACTGAAAGCACATTCATTGGCAATTAAATGGTCAAGTGGCAAGAAAAAGGAATCTATATTTTCTAGCATTGAGCTCTTTAAGACCTCACCCTGATAACTTCTTGAAAAAAAAAATTGCTCCAAACTACTACTTTGTCATCTGTATTTGTTTATATAAGAAATTACTTCAAGACTTTTTTGGTGAGAGGTGTTATCACCTAGCAGTTGACATCTAGAGCTATATGAAGGTAGAGAAAAATAGAGTAAAACATTGCTTGTTTCTGCACTTGCCATATGGATCTTTTAAGACAACAGCATTTTAAGAGGTTTGTGGAGTTTTTTTCTGTTCAAGTTTTTCATTTTGTATTTCTTTGGTTTTGTTGTTTGGTTGTTTTTTTTCCAATTTGCTATTCAGAGTAAGAAATATAATTAAGTTTTTATTTCTTCTATTAAATTACTTTCTGCTTTTCTGTGCCCAGAAGTAGAACGTGTTAGCTGGCTTCTGGTAGAATGAGTTCTGGTGCATATTCCTTGTTATACACGTAGTAAGGGTTAGGCTAACTTCTTAGCACTATGCTGTGCAGTAAAGGTATGGAAACACCACCTTGGTGTTTGTTCTATGTGGGTTTTTAAAGCCACAGGTTTTGTTACTTCAGAATAACCAACCAGTTTCTGTACACTGGGATGTCATCTGTCTGTAATTTTGAGCAATAATTTTGAGGGTTTTAGGAAATACTTTTCAGTAAATCAGGGAGGCATATAAATATGCTCTGCATGTAGGAGTTAAATGGTTATCCAGATTCTGAGAAAGCAAAAATCTTTTTTATGACATAGCTGATCTTTACCTGAGAAAGCCTGATGAGCATTTTAAGCTAATTCCTTCCCTTAGGAAGGACAGAGGGGTGCTGTTCTTCTTCCACTGACCTTTTTCTTTAGAGTTACAGTATTTCTGTGATAGACTTGCAGTAAAGTTAGCAAGGTATCTTACCTTGTGTCCTTTAAAATGTTGCTAGGTGAGTGAATATCGGAACTGTTCTCACCAAACCTGCTTTGGTGATTTGTAAATGTAATTGTTACTTTGTTATTCCTGTGCCTCTTATAAACTTGTATCCTTTTGCTGAAATACTGTAGAATCTAAACTAAGAACATCAGGAACTTTTTGTTTCTTTTATTTCAATCAGGTTAAACTGCTTCCAGGAAGTATGTACTTATTACCATACTGCACTTGCTGTTAGCACTTGTCTGTAAACCCACAGACATCCACAGCTGCCATGTGGCTCAAAAAATTAAAACAAAGGAAAGTGCAGTTTTGGGAAGAAGATGGAAACTTGAAAGATGGAAAAAACTGTTACTTTGCCTGTGACCAGAATCAGTTTGCTTTTCTCTCTCACAAAATGACATAATTAAGGGTGTATGTACTCTGCTACTTCAGCAGTTGCATTGTTATAGTAATTAAGGTTAGTTTTGATTACTATAGCGTTAAGCAGTTTGAATTCTTTGTCTTGTAGCAAGCAGCAGTAACAGTTTTATTGTGTATGTAAATTATGATTGTTAAGCATATGATAATCTAGCCTTACTTTGCACAGGGTGAAATTGTGATTTAACTGTACTAAAGTCTAGCATTAAGTTTTTTATGCAAATTACCTGCATTCCAGCATTCTATTAACTGACCCATAGATTAATGTGAAGGATGTAGGTTTTGATCAGGGTTTCTCATTGAAAAACAGTGTAGGTGGTGATAGAGAAGAGCATTATGTAGCTAAAATCATGCCAAGCCCATTTGAAAGATCATGCTGTTACCCTCCAACAGGTATGATGAAAGGAGATGTTTTCATTAACTTGAGGACTATGTTACATTGGACAGTTTTGAAAAATTCAATGCCTTTAGTTGTATGTTTGTTCCTTGTGAAAACTTGTGTAGTGAGAAGCGCACCCTTCAACTCCCAGCACCAGTTCTCTGCTTTGGCAGCTATGGGTTAAGAATTCTAAGGCAGTGGAGTGCAGCAGTGGGTGGTGTGTTCAAGCTGGATTCTCTCCATTGGCTGAAAAATCTACATTGTAGTGGTACGTGTTTATGTGAACTGAACTCAGAGAGAAATTAGGTGCTGCATCTTTTAGCTTAATATAATGGCTTGTATGAATATCAAATTGCAAAACAAACAGCTTTGGAAATTTAAGTGTACAGCAACTTTATGGCATGTGGAATTGCCTGGGAGATTGAGGGTGTGTAGTGCTTTGTAGTGGTTCTTAGGGTGTTTCCTGGTTCTTTTGCAAATTAGCAATTTTTTTTCCCCCTTTGAATTTCTTGAGGATGGATGATCAGATGCAAACATGACACTAAAAAAATTAGCCTGTTTTTCACACAGATTGCACTAATACCTAGGAAAGTTCAGTTTCTATCTAAATTTGGTCTATTGTTATGACATGCTTTCTTCCAAAAAGATTGCTCTTTTGATACTACCTACCTCATCATCATTTAATATTCAGATGCAGAATTTATTTCATTTGCATATTAACTTAGGTTTTTTATATTCAACTCCAAGGCAGGACATTCTTGAACTTTAAATGAATGTGTTCAGAGTTTGGGTTTTTTCAATTTCAGTTAACAATTTTTGTTTTTAAGCAAAGCTACTACTATGACTTGGTGATGAACATCAAACACTTTGCATCTCAGGTGAACACTCAGGAAAAGGTTGGCAAGGATGGAATGATGTCCATGTGAAGAATTACTATATAATTGCTATGTAAGTGACATCTCTTATCTAGAATAGCTAGAGGGCATGATCTGTAAAACTGTGTGGCATGGGGAGTGAGGAATGTCCTAGCTTGCCTTTTTTAAGTAGCTGCATTGCTTCTATTGGCTTTTTCCTTAGGAACAGATACCAATTTATTCCTAATGAAACATTAGAGCTGTCCTTGAGAATGAGAAACTACAGAAAATGAGGATGGAGAAAAAACAGATAACAGCTGGTAAAAGAAGGAACGTGAGTAGAGAAATGTAAAAACAGGGAGCCAAAGGGAGCTCTGAGCAGAATATGGTTTGGGTCTGGTCCACATACTCCCATGCCAGAAAAGAGAGATGATGAATGCTGGCCAGAGATGCTCTGCCTGAGGAGGTACCACAGGTCTTGGGACATCCTGAAAAGCTTCTTCCTCCCGGTAGCAGCTTGGTCAGAGGAGCAAAGTCTCTGATGAAGAGATCCTGTATCATGTGGGGCCTTAGAAATGTAAAGGTGAACCAAGAACATTTTAATAAGAAGTTTTGGAAAAGCTGAAGTAGAGGTTGCCATTAATCCCACTTGGGCCATGGCATGCATGTATTCTACCTTATCCTAGAGGGAACTAGCTTTCAGGACCCCAGGCAGAGCATTATGGATGTGCTCATATCTTTAATGTATTTTTCCTGGCTGGGCTCTGGATTTAGCCCAAAGTACACGCTAATCCACATGGCATCATGCCTCTCCTGATGGTAGGAGATCCCATCCCCTGCTTTCTATGCTGGGCAAATGGTGAGAAAGTGAAGTTTGAGGGCATAATGGAATTTTCCAAGATGAGGTGTGAAGATGAACAGGATTCCATTAAATACTGAAATACTACATGGGGACAACATGTATCTCATGGGACAACAATCTTCTGCTGGGGTTACACTTGCCTTAGTCTTGTGATTTAGTTCAGCTCTTGTTACACAGGCAGAGAGGACACCCCTGACTACCTTCATGCCAGATGCCCAAAGGTACAGTCTGTGGTTTTGTTCTGCCAGGGGTGCAAGGTGTACTTGGCACATTGTATAGTTTCAGACAGTTATTGGGGGGTTTTGGGGGGGTTGTTGGTTTGTTGGGGTTTTTGGTTGGTTGGTTGGTTTTTTTTTTCATGGAAGGTGTCTCTAGACACCTTGGTACTTTCAGGAGCTAAAATGGCATTAGTTCACTTCAGAAGACTTGGGATTTTTTTGGTGGTGGCTTTTGTTTCGTGTTTTCTGTTTTTAAGCAGATGCTTGAAACTATGCTGTTTATTAAAGAAAACCATTTACTAAGTAATTGAAAACAGAAATATTGAACATAATTTGACCAAGTAATTTGTTCTTTTTGACTTTTTGACTTTTGACTTTAAGACAGTGTTGTGGGATGATTTGGTTGAATTTTCAAACCAGTTATAGCCCCCATTACTTGTCACTGTTACTTTAGAGTGTTTTTTTCAGGACTTCTTTTAGAAGCAATTTTATAGTGTCTGCTGGGTAAGAGTCTTCAGGGTAGAACCTGACTTTTGCTGGTATGATATTTTTGAAAAATCCCAAAACATGTTTGTACTGTCTCCAGCTTGAGATTTGGGGCTATAATTATGAACTGTTCTTCAACTTGCTACTTATGGAGTACTTACCTGACCAATTTTCTTTGGCAGTAAAGCTGACTTGAAAAATGCCTGCCGTTATCACCCCTGCTGCTCTGCTCATAGCTACAATTCACTGCTCCTCCTGTGCTGATACAGCTGTTCAAGGACTGCTCTGTGTCTCACCACAGTGGTTAAGACCCTTGTTCTCACCTGGCACTGCTCTTTTAACCCCTTATTTCATGGACCTTTCTTAAAACACTGCCCTACCTTGTGCTGGGCTGACACAAAGGAGGGATCCAAAACAAGGGGGAAATGGTGTTGCAAGTGGCTTTTACCACTGAAGAAAACACACAGGATTCACGGAAGGGAAGAAGAAAATGCTACTGTTGCATGGTGTCAATATCACCGTTTGGATATGTTACCATGAGGTGCTTTTTAATTTGAGGAACTCTTTGGAGCCTTCCCTTGATTCAGAGATGCTGCTGACTGACTTAGTAGTGCTATGCATCACCATGCCATTCTCAAATACTATCTGTAAGAGTTGTCCCATTTTTTTGCTTACAACTGAGACTAAAATAGTGTTTGTATCATTTTAGTTTTGTTTAATGTGATTACCCTCATGGTCGTCAGCCCAATTTATTTTGACAAAGTTATCAAAAAGATCACCAGCCTTCCTCTTCATATTTTAATTGCTTCAGAATGTACTCAAGTATTTGTTAGGACAAATAAAACGGGAAGATGACTAAAACATACACATTCCTTTTAGATACAGCATGTGAGTAGGGAGTAGCAGGAGGAAGAAGAGATGTACAGAAATGTGCAGCAGCACAATGAGACATGTGAAAGAATCCAATACCAAAGTTAACCTAAATGGTATGGTAAGACTAGAGGTAAAAGCACTGGAAAATTAATATGATTTTTGGCAAGAAAAATGAAGGCATCTCTTGCATTTATCTTTTCTGCAGTTGAACTGAATTCTTGCATTTAGTGGTGGATACACTGATTTTCTGCAGGATGTATTTTTCATTTAAAGTAAAAATAAAGTTCATACCCTTACTGTCTCTTCTTTCAAAAATAACTTGTGGTAGTTCTGCCTTTCTTTGTGTGAAAATAATTCCAAACAGAAAATAGTAGTTGGCTGGTTTTCCACAGTTCTATTCACAACACTATAATTTTCTCCACCAACTAAATTGACTCATTCATTTCCGCTAATGCATACAAACTTACTTGTTCTGCTGCCAGTCTTGTTGTTAAAAGGCCTAGCCCAAGACACAGTGGCTGAGAAAACAGAGCAGTAGATGTTCAGTGTGGAAAGCATGAAAGTGCAGTTCTTTCACCTACATCCTTTTCTCTTCAGACTTGGACATAGATTTTTCACCAAGAGAACTGTCAGCCACTGGAATACTCTCCCCAGGGAAGCTGAGTAGCAGAGCTGGTCTGTTGAGCTTGAGATTGTTTGATACTCATGCAGTACTAGAGAGAGGTTTATAAAGTGACTGCAAACTGGGAAGGAGACAATAGACAGGTACACTTTGAAGAAATAAAGACAAGGTGAGAATTTTGATTCCTCTCAAATGTGAACGAGGTTGGATACGCTCAAGAAGACAAGAGTTATATGAAAAACACTTTTGATTCCTTGTTGAATGCACATTTAATAATGAAAAGGAGACATTTAGTGAGGGAAATACATTTGGGGAAAATGTATGCTTCAATTGCAAAAGATGGAATATATTCAGGATATGGGTGTAAGCCACAATACTGGCAACTTTGAGTCAGAGTAAATGCTGAAGAAGGAAAATTAGAGAAAATTAAGAAAAAGTATTATTAGTCCCTATTAAGTATTTGCTAATGATGCAGCTATCAGCAATAACATTATAGCACAAAGAGCATTTTTCCTCTTCCAAAATACAGCAGTACATCAGCATTGTGTGTTAAAAAAAACCTCCTCTTTGTGGCATTTCTTTCCCTGCTGATGAGAGCCCAATGGACCTCTATTGCACTCCAAGGATATAATGAAACGCTCGATCTCCCTATTTGTGATTGCATCAAGAATTGTTCAATGAAAGGTAGCATTAAATATTTTCTGGTGTTTCGTCACATGGCAGAGTGTGTTCTTTCATGAAAGATTAAACTGCAGATGTTACTGACATCTGTTATTGTTTGGGAGGTTCTCATTTCTTTGTGTAGTTGGAGGAGGGTTATCTGAATCAGAATTACTTTTGTGCTGCAGCAGCGTGAGTTTTGCAGTGTCCTATGAGACAATATGTAACCACAACAAAACCAGGATTTCATTTTTATAGATGTACTTACTGGGATGCTTTTGTGGTCCAAACACAGAGTAATTGTCACAGCATTGGATAATTTAGAACTGAACTTAGAGGACTGCAATGTGAAGTACTAAAATACTGCGCTTTGGCATCATTGCTGTTTAAAAAGTACTTCCAGCTAATTGTTCTGTTCAAATACTTCTTCACTGGTGATAGTATTTAAGAAGGGATGGCAAAATGAGAACAGTTTTGAAAGATGATCTACAAGCAGATATAAATCTGGTCCTTGAAATTTTTACAATATAAGAAGGCAAAAATGTAGACCTAACAGTAGCCTAACATTTATAGATGCTTTATACTGAAGTATGCATACTTAATATATAGATGGAATTCATTTAACTGAAGGAAGAAAAGCTTTGAACAAGGGCAAGAAGAAATTTTTCTACCATCACCACTTGATTTTTCAAGTTGGAGAAAGTGAGGAGAAGGATTATGGTTTTAATACAACCAATGTAATTATGCTCTAGGCAAAGTCATTGTCTGTAAAAATTTTATTGTATTTTGACAATGATGATGTTGGTGTGAGATATATTGGAAATGAAGTTAGGAAAATGGGAAGAAATGGTAGTATATCGACAGATGCTTCTTAAACAGTCACGTGATAGTAGTTAAAAATTCTGTAATATATATGAATATTCTGTGGGCACTGTATGTGACATACTGCAGTAAACTAGGTATCAGTTTATCTTTCTACTGGTAAAGGCACAAAAGAGTGAAGATGATGGCCAGGTCTTGTTCTGTTCCCATGACAGTCACCAATTTTGATAAAGTGGCCAAAAAAGGGGCCTGTTTCAAGAGAAGGTCTTTTAATATATCATGGGGAGCTTTTTAAACCAAATGTATTTAATTCATTTATAAATATTTACTTTCTTAGCAAACTTTTTCATTTTTCCATTTAAATCTCAGAATGTGTGGGATTTATGCCCCCTGTAAATAGACCATAAATTATTTTCAGTCTATGGTGGTGGTGTGGTAGTAATATTTTGAATTTGGGTGTCCAGTTTAGGGTAGAAAAATTTGGACATTTATGTTTAAAGTTGATTTTTAAAAATTAAGTCATTAATAGGTAAGGGATCTGCTTTTCTTTTGTTATTCTATTGGCACATACTAGCACGGTTCAATTAACATTTTTTCTTACATCAGTGAGTGCTTTAACCTCTTAACAAGAACATTTTTAAGACTTTCACTTTAAGAAATTGAAAATCTTTTAAAAGTGAAATAGCATATTCTGGTCCTCTGTTAGACTGCAAGTATAGCATTTTCATTAATTCAACCTACATGTTGCAGTATTACTTGTTGATTCATTAGCAAAGATAATCTAGCTTGGAAACAATTTATGAGGATCAAGACAGTTTGTCTTAATTCACTGTTTCTATTTTAGTACACATAACAACATAAAAGATGTATCTTCTTCACTGTAGAGTATTTTCTTCACGTTCTTTCCATTGAGTGATTTTAATGACAAACACTGTTAGGATTCTCACTAAAAGAAAATACTTTCTTGCCAACAAGTGTTTATACATGATACGTCTGTCTTCTGTTTTGTCTTTTGTCTTCTAAAGTCTGGTGTAGAAAGTATTGTGGGCTAGGGAGATTGTCATTCTTAATGAACTTTATCCCTCAAATCTTGCATCTGTTCATTTAGAAAAATGAAAGGACATGTACACCTTGTTAAAGCGAGGTGCTGTGGGGTGTCTTTTAACACCTTGTATTTCAAGAATGTATTTTTATCTCATATTACAGGATAATTAATAGTGTTTTAAATAGTAAACAGTGATGACTATAGCAGATTAAAAATTGTGCATTTTAGTATTTTTAACTACTCAATATTAGTTAAATTTTTCTTTGCTTAGAAGTGAAGGTTACATTATTTCTGTGTAGTTTTTCAGTATCTTACTTTGCTTGGTAAGAGTAGAATTATTCAAACACTTCTTATGCTGTCCTTTCATATTATCATATTTGTGATATTATGGGCTGGGCAGATTTCTAGTGAAAATGATGGCTGGAAATGCAACTTTCCCTATTCTTGGTGAATAAACCAAAAAGTCCACTAAAACTCAAACCAGGCAAATTAATATTTTCAAAATAAAAAACCAGGCAGCTCACCAGTGGAATATTTCAGGAAGGAGAATCTGTGTACCTGTATATCATTCGGGGAAGATGAGTGTGTGTTGTTTCTGAGGGGAGTCAAAGACACAGTAAGAATGGACCAGAGAGAATTTGAGCAAATAGTGGAAGACAACCTGTGAAGAACACAGCAAGGCATTTTTCGACAGCATGGCTAAAGAAGCCTTGTTGTGGATTTCTCACGTTTCGTTCTTTGTATAGGTAGAATTTTATACATTCTTCATAAATATCCAGGCTTGAATCAAGATAGTCTGCAGAGAGCAGCAATTCACTTATTTCTGTTCAGGTGATGAGTGGATGATGGAAACAGGTAACCCGCTCGGGTCAAGTAGGTTGCAATGTGCATTTGTGTGAGGAGCATGGGTTTGGTTGTTTTTTTCTTGACTGACAGAGGTGTAATGATATGTACTGTCCAAAGGTTCTTTTGCTATATCACCTAGTTCTTTGCCTTTGTTTTATGGTTTGGTGTTTCTATCAACAGGCCAAGATGTGACTTTTCAGGTGATACATAATTTTCCTTCTCTTGGAAGTTAAAAATCAGTATATGCTTTCTCTCTAGAAACAGTTCCTCAGAGTTTGTGATCACACACCAGCAGACATAAAGTGTGCCACTTTATTTTGCAAAACTGATGTACTTTTGCTGCTAAGAAAGTTTGTAATTCTTGTATACATTTATAAGCTTTAAAAAAACTCTAGTGAAACTGTTCTAGTTCTGTGAGCCTCTATTGTCCATAATAAAGAGTCATCTTAAAATGAATTTTTATGGTTATATAGCTCTTATAACAGTTGAAGGATTCCTTGTTCAGGTAAATTAAAATCAGTCTCATGATGGGGAGGGGAAGTGTTTTATTAAAGAATTCAATGTATTTCCCTCATTTCTATGTATCTTGAGTCCTATTGACTTTCTTTCAGATGTAATTGACATACATGCACAGCCACTCTCTGTTTTTTCATTACACCTTTTTTCCAAGCTATCTTTCCACATAGATCTATTTCAGACACATTAGTTTTATGTCTCCATCATGGTTTTGTTCAAATTGGAGTTTCTACAATAGTGTATGCACACATTGCTTTAAACTATTTTCTGTTGAATTTCTATATGAAAGTTACTTGATTTGTTACTAAAAGTTAAGCAATGAAATGGGTAGAGAATAAAATAAAGCCTCATTTTCCTCCCTTCTTGTTTTCTTCCCATTCTAAGTTTCTATTTCTTCTTAGTGAAATAGGCACCCAAATACCATTTCATCACTGTGGGGATAAAAAAAGCAGCAATACCTACAGCTGAAAATCATATGGTTTAAGTAACTTGTCACTGAACAAGGATAGTATCTGCTCTTCAAGGGTGGTATTTAGTAGCCTTTGGCAGCAGTTTGTCCTGATGCTGCTAAAGGCTACTTCATCCTGCTTCCAAAGTTCTGTAGATCTTTCCAAAGGAGCTGAACCGATACAGTTCCTTCACTGCCTGATCCTGAATGAGTGCCAGGATAGTTCCATACATTGTTCTGCAGGGAGTACCAGTCTGTGGAAAAAGGAATACGTCTGTGTCTGTTGTTATAAAGAATGTGTAAACAAGGGCATGCAGAGGT